TTTTCCTTCTAGTTCATCATACAGGGACGGTAGATCAGTTTTTGCTCTTGCCGTTACAACGTTTTTCACTAGGCTTAACAAGTCTCTCACATAGATTTTCACAAGTAAATCTTCGCATCCAAAGCGCTCTCTTAGTTGTTCAATAGCTTTAGGATAATTAGCTGCCATTGTCGGTAAGCTAAGAATTAGGCGTTCTGCCTTCGATTTGGGTTCCATGGCCTGCAACAGATACTACATTTTATCTTCATCAGTGATACTTTTGTAGTTGTCGATTTTCTGGAACTGACTTCAAAATGTCAGGTAATCTTTAGCTTCACCACTGAACTTTTTAAGCTCAATTTTAGGCAATTTAAATTTCCTCAATTCGAAGTTACTTGGAAGAGAGGAGGCTTGTATTTCCACATCTGTATGAGCACACTGTTCTAGAAACTTATCTTGGTAATCCTCTGCTTCTTCAAAGTCATCACTAAATAATTTTTCTCCATCTTCAGTCTGCAAAATCTGCTGCGAGATAGCACTCTGGCATATGTAAGTCTCTTTCAAAATCGAAAGTATTTTTAAATCTCTTACTTCTTTAGTTAATTCACTTTCGGTTTTCTTTGAGATTTGAGAAAACACAATTCTAAGTCCTCTTCTTTGAGCCTTTAAAGCGATCAAATCCATCTTCAAAATATATTCAAAGTTGAAGTTCAAAATCAAAGGTTCAATCGGAAAATTCTAATTCATAGCACCCAGTCCCACTGAGGGTACCACTATGTTGCGAAGAACGCAGAAAATATATAAATTAAATATATTCAAAACAGTTCATTCAATTGCAGGCTGCCTGTACCCGAGGCTGGGTGCGTTATGAATAAAGACAAAAAATTCTTAATAAGCCATTCTTTATTTTCATCAAAACAGTCTTACTCTTTCGAGATCAGCTTCTGTTCTGTCTACAAGCAAACTATTCGAAACACTCAGCAGGCAGGCTGACGTCATGAACAGCAGCACCTCCCGCCAGTTATTACTTCAGTTCACTTCATATATATATATGACTGCGTTGATTGCAGTCAAAGGGAATAAGCTGTTTTACATTAGATGCATATGAAAGGGGTACTGTGATATTGATTTTGATATTACATGTGTTATATTAATATAACATATGATTGATTAGACAGATTGAACACTTGTATTTTAAATTCCTTACCTATATTATACAGAGAATTATATCAAGTGTATACCTATACATACTTATGAGAGGAGTGTTTCGTACTACAAATGCATATAAATGGGGTACGGCCAGAGCTTAAATTGCAAGGAGCCTGGCTCCTGTACTTCTCAGTTTTCAAAATTGGACCAAAACAATATAAATTATTATTTCAGCCGAACCACACTGGAGTCCTAATGTCCTTTTATGTAAGTGAATTGCAGTTTTAGCATATAAATTTGGTTTTAATAGTAAACATGCCTTAAAAAGTTTTAACTTCTGAATACAAACCTGTCTTTCCCTCGCACTCAAGCTTTTCACGGAGGTTGAGACTTTTAAGGAAAGAAAAGCCGCCCAATCTCATGTCAAAGGATTATTCTCCAGGATATGCAATGAATTATGAGAGCGGGCAAATTTTGTATTCCTCAAGGAACTAAAACTGATGTGCTGGTCGTGCACATTTCATGCTAGTTACTTCCTACTGCAGAGCTCCTGTAGACTTTCTTAGTGATGTAACCAAACAGGAAGGGCTACTGCTGTCACTTTACAAAGAAGTCTTAGGTTAGGTCGTAATATCACGTTATATTCAAGGAAAAATGTCTGCTTGACGGCTAGAATTATATCAACAGGGCATTGCACTGAGGAAGTCTTGAACACTTCCCTCTCTATTTTCAGAGCTAGACTTTTTCGTTATATTTCTTTCCATATCCTCATATTGTTTCTAGAAATCTCGCTATTCTCCTTAGTGGAGCTTTAATAATTGTATCTTCTTTCCTTGGCGTGCTGCAAAAAAGAGTGGTACCTTTCATCCCCTGAAACTACATTATATGTATAATCAGGGTGTAAAGTCAGATGGAGATCGGTTAAGCTGCTTCTTAGCATCTAAGTGGAATTGCAATTCTAGCTAATGCCCCAAATGAGACAAGGTCCGATACTTTTTTTTTCTAATTAACTATTGGAAATTTATTTAATAATTTATTGAATTTTTCTTTATTTCTTTACATTTTTCTTAATTTAAATATATTATTCAATTATAGCTATTTTATTTATTTATTTTTCTTCCTCCAGTCTTCCATAGGGCTCCAACACTTCTAATTTTTTTAGAAATTAAGCCCTGGGTAAGAAGACACTGATTTTGGTATTACATGGATTATAATATTTTTACAATAGTAAAAAACACTGATATTGAACAAATTGAATACCTATATAAAATGGAGAATGGCATGAAGTACATATACATGCTTCTGATAGGAACGATTGTAGTCAAATGGGATAAACAGACTTTTTCACTGCGAGTACGTACGTATAAATGGGGTAATGCTACATTAATTTTGATATTGCATGCAATATATTGTGTAAGCTATTATTTGCAGTAATAGCATATACAAAAGCGGTAGAAAAAATGCATTATGTCACATTACTGTTGCGCTACATATCATTAAAATGGAATATACCAGCTGTGTAATGTAATTGCTGATGTCCTGCATTTATCATTACTAAACTGTTAATTTGTTATGCTAACCCAGAGTTTGATTGGTTCAGGATTAACACTGATTACAGAGAAGATAATATTGAGCCATTTAAAGAACCCACAAAGTTTTATGCAGACGAAGAGGGGAATTGCAGTTCCCTAAATTTTAGAGATAAAATGTATTAACAGTAGTCATCTATTCTTAGATGCTGTAGTAACTTAAAATGTTCTAGGCAAAAGAACAGCTGTAGTCAATGCATTTCAGAATATGTTTTTTATGAGCCATTATGGTCTAGTAACTTCTCTTTTTAATGGAATGAGGGAGAATGGAGGAATATTATGTGAGAACTGTTTTTAAATATTGTCTATTTAATTCATAATATGCTGCCTAACAGAAAAAATGTCACACCATGAAATTGATTGGAATTTAACCAATTTTTGCACATGGATAGGTGTATAGATAATTATGATTCAGTTTTAAAAGATATCTAGCAATAAGACACTTGGGTATATAGAATATCAATATGATAATCTTTCTCGATTTTGGGCAGTACATTTGTAAATGCGTGAACCCGATAGCTATCTAAATCATGACGTTTGATATCATTTGTCATGTAATTGTACTGATGTGTCCCAAGAGTTTATTTTGTGGAGGAGTGGAAGTATCCAATCAATACCCTGTCATGCCTTATATATGCTTTATTGGTGAGAAATTGGAGGATTGGCCCAGAGGTACACATTGCAAGATACTCAGGATAGGCTGAGCAATGGCTGTATCTTCTTGAGAAATGGTTTGAAGTACCCTAAAGATGGAACTGTAAAGATGTCATCATAATAGCAGGGGCCTGTAATGTGCTATAGATGGATGGTTGTTATCACTAATGGCACTTTAAATCATTATTCTGTGCTGGCAAGCCCTGTGTCACTTGAAATGATAGATGCTTCTGCTCAGTGGCTTTGTTCCCACCACACACTCATATGCTGATCATCTGTAAGGCAGGGCAAGATTTGTTGTTGAAGACCATACTGTCCTATTTGACTCTTCTGTGACACCATTGCAAATATTAACAACAATGATTCACTATTAATTGAAGCCTCTGTAAAGAATAACTGATTATCAAAGCTGTATTGTCTAATTGTCACATCATCCATTTTGATAATGGAGCAGCTCAAACATTCTGTATCCTTTGCAAAATGTTTCCAGGTGTGACCATGGGTCAGATACAGTGTGATGTCATATGAACTGGTTAGTGCAGTGTATATTCTTGCTGTGGACTTTCAATGGTGCTACACATTTTCTTCCAAGGCCCATTGTCACAATCTTCAATGAACAGGTATGTGCCATCAACCTGCATTTCCACTGCAATGCAGTACAAGGACCAACCAGCACTTATGGAGACATTACACAAAGCCCTTTGTGAGCATGTCTTTGCTGATGCTGTCTTAAAAATATGATGTCTTATAAACATTACCTTGTCATCTTTGTTTACAGACTCGGAAAGAAAACTCTTATATTAGTGATAGCACCAGACCTGACGGCTCTGTATGTTGTTTGCATGCATTCTCTGTATGTGCAGAATGATGCATTTTCTCCATCAAACAGTATAAGAAAAGTTATTTCTAAAAAATAGATTAATTGCAAGTATGAATTCAAAATTATTTTTCGTACCAGTATTTTCTTCTCGTATTTTAGACATAAATAATTCCTGAAATAAACACTGGTTTAAGCCAAATTATATCAATTATTTGAATTTTTATGAATATGTAGCAGTTTCTGTGCTTTGTGCACTTTTGTTATTGCAACTTAGTGTTTTCTTTTTATAGCGAGTTTACTGCAAAAACTTGTAAATTCATTTATATATCAATACTTTTCTAATCTGACTATCTGAATACTGCTAATGTGAAATCGGTAATTTTATATATGTATTATGTGTGTTTCTCTTCTTAAAGTTGGAGCAAAATAGGTAGTTACCCAGATTTTGTTTATATTAAAAATAAGAATTTTGTTAAACTACATGTTTGGGTAATATTTTTTAATTATATTCTTATACTTTGATCACATTTGAAATGCTTTCCCATCCACATTATGTTTTGCTGGTATTTAAAAAAATGACAGCATGTTAGGATAAATACAATAATATTTAATACATGTGTCATACATGTATATATTTTTTCTAAAACTGAATATAGGCATTCCAATAATAAATTCATTACAGAAGTAGTATGTAAGATCATGTTTTCTATTTTGTAATTTTAAGCTTCATTGTATTTGTTCAGAATTTTGAGTGATACTATATCTTGTTATTTTATTATTTATTTTTATTTTCCATGTTCCATACTCAGAGAAAACAAGAGGTACTTTTATGTGAATAACAGAACTCAGCATTCTCAGTGGACATACCCTGAAGAATTATGTAATCAAGAAAAAACATCTTGGATGAACACATCAGATGTGGTTGCAACTTCATCTGCTTCTGGCTTTGCCTCTGAGAAGAGAGATGACCTTCAGACTGTATCTTCATCTGTGCCTGAAAGACAATTACCAGAAAGTCGTCCTGCATCTTTTGCATTTGATTCAAGGAAGGAAAGGGGTGGTAAGGATTTAAAAACTTAAATAAGATTAGAAGGAAAATTTCCATTAATTTTGGATTTTTTTTTTCAAACTCGTATTCATATATATTTTAAACTAAAACCATTAACTGTATTTTTAAGGTGTCTCTGGGCAGTATTCAGATAGTGCTACTGGTTGGAGTTCACCCCCTCCTCCACCTCCTGGTGTTGATTCTCCTCCTCCACCACCACCTCAGAGTCCTCCACCTGATAGCCCACCACCACCTCCACCTGACAGTACTGAAGTTGGAGATCTTCCTGAAGATATGGATCTTGACTCTGATGATTCAGGTCCACTGCCTTTTATCTCGCAATGCAGTTCTGACAAGGATATGCATATGCAGTACCCACCATTTGTAAGTGTTTTAAATTATTTTTTACTCTTCAAGTATTCCTAAAGTTAGTTATTTAGTCTCAACTTGCAAATTTATGAAAAATTTAGGATAACCAGAAGATTCTGAAATACGTAAATTAAGCTTTGTTTATAAGCAATTGCTCATGAAGGTACTGAAAGTTAAGTAGATCAGGAAACAGTAATAAGCAAAGCAGATAAAATAATTCATCTGCAAATTATTATTGTTAAGTATTTCTCTTGTAGAAAGCTCTTTTACACCACTATTGAATGTATTCATGGATTATTTCCTATTCTTCACATTGTTTGAGTTATTTAAAACTTAAAGTAATTAAAATTATTTAACGTAATTTTTTTAATTGTGAGACTCACTCAGGTGCATGTCAGTAAATTTTTATGTTATTGATACAAGCTTTTAATGTTTCTAAATGCATGTTTCTTTACATTGCTGTACATGATTTACATTTACCTATCAAAATTTCACCTTTTTTTTCTGCTATGTATAGAGAGATTCAAAACTTATAATTTTGCAGAATGAGATTTAGCATGCTGAGTACTTCTTTTTTCTATGTGCATTTCACAGTGAAATTGTTCCTCTAGATGTTTGATAATTTAAATTTTGGCTTGTTTTCATGTGAACCAAGTTATAAAATTATAACTGCTTACATTAGAGCTTAACATGTTCAACAGGTATTCAATTAAAATAATACATGTGGGAAAGCTATTTTGAGAACAGGAATAGCTGAACAGTTAAAAAAAAAAAAAAAAAGCAATAATATAGGTAAGATATCAACATCAGTAATTTGAGATGAAGAGATTGTCTTAGTGCCAATTCATTTTTTTTTTTTTTTTTTTTTTTTTTTTTTTTTTTAATTAAAAAAAAAAAAAAAAAAAAAAAAAAAAAAAAAAAAAAAAAAAAAAAAAAAAAAAAAAAAAAAAAAAAAAAAAATTGGGCAGTATACAAATTGAGTTATTTATGAAGAACTATATCAAAAACTTTGAATCATACCTTTGTAATAAATTACATTTTGCTGAAAAAGCATAAAATTAATTGTTCTAGTTTTGATTAAAAATATTGTTTTACCAGTATAATGTAAATTGGAAATCTCTGATGTATTAAAAATTGGAAATTGGCTATATAAGCCTCATGATTTCTTCTCTACATAAAAAGCTATGCAGGTAAAATTTAAGGATTGATAGCATTCCAAGTAATGACACAGCAAATAAAACATAAAGGCTTGGAGCAATTTGCAAAAATAAAATAATAATATAATAATATGTATACAGGGTTTCCAATGTGAAGTGGAATAAAATTTTCTGCATGCAGGAGGATGTGGAAAATTCATGCCATTTTAAAAGATCCGAGTGATTATTAATTGTATCACGGGTAAGATAATGTTAGAAAAAATTTGGATGATTTTATGCATAGCCCTATCATTGGTAAAATGGGAAAAGGGCACCGTATTTATGGTGAGTTTGGCATTGCATATATCACTGTTTTATATACATAGAAAATCATCAAAACTGTAGAAACAGCTGTTAGAAAGATACATAGGGGGCCACTCGGGGACAACACTCAAAGGATGAAAACTAGTAGTCATATATATAAATTTAAAAAGTCATCAATACCAAACTGCATGTGGTATTGTACCAACTGTAAATGGATACTGGATCCTCTCTGCATTGCAGGGTCAGTGTGCTGAGAATTTTCCGTAAAGGTAACTGTTTTGCCTGATGATTTAAGCCTGGATGTCATTTGTTTGTCTCAAAATAAATGTTTGAAGATCTAACATGTGTTTATAAGTTTTAGTAGAGAATAACTTTTGAATTATAATGTTACTGTAACTATCGAAATTCTGGTATTATAGTAGTTATAATTTTTAGCATCTTATTATTATTAATATTTGTGTTCTCTGAAAATCACTCTTAGAATGTCACTCTTAGAGATATCATTTGCACCAAAAGAGGTGTCGCTGCATGTAAAAACCATCACTGAATTCAGTAGTTGCTTGTATTGAGGAAAGAAGTAATTTGAATATATGTTAAATGTTTTCCAAGGATATATGGTATAAGAAATTATCAGTAACACTTAATCTGCAGTTACTGCTAAATTTTAAATGTTGAAACTTTGTGAGAAGTTTTCAACCGACGTATTGCAATTTGTGCACAGGAATCACACAGAGTATAATGTATCTGTTTAATCTTATAGTATGCCAAATTATAATCTATAAGCTCTGAGATTCCCATGTACGTTATACATTTATGATGCAATATGTTATCTGTTGCATGTATGAACTGAATAGTGTGTTTATAGGTCAAAAAATATGTGATAATATGTCAAAAAATATGTGAATCAAAAAATATGTGAACTTGCCTTCATTAATATTCCATGTCTGGGAAAATGCAAAATACATCTTTCCTTCTTGAGCACTGTTTTGCATATATCAAATCTGCTGCTATAATGCTGTAAAAGAATGTCAGCAGAACTTAGTTTTGTTTCTTGTGCTAATAGACATTTTAAGTTCCAAAAATTTTTATCTCATTTGAAACCATGTATTGCTCTTTTGCATAATAATAATGTTTCAGTTACTTGTATCACTCTGGTTTCAATGTATTAAGGACGTCAAGAAACATAATAAAACAATATACGCACACACGGTGGCGGGAAATTTTGAGTCGCGCATTAACATAGTACACAGTCATTGTTAAATATAGCAACACTGTGAGACCATGATAATATATGCTATTTCAGTTGCTATGGGGTGCAGCATGCTTTCATATTAAAGGCATATTACAAAAACAATTATAGTTGTGAAGCTGTGCAGTGTCATTTTCAAGTGCATTGTCATAATATGGCTGTGTCGGCCCATATTGTGAATAAGAGGGTAGAAAGATTTGAAGCAGTGGGGTCAGCATTGAACTTGAAACCTGTAATGCCAAGAAAAATGGCATGAACTCCAGAGACTATTCAAGCAGTTAATGCAATGATCGAACAAAAGTCTGCAACATTCTGCATGACGACATGCCAAGTCATTAGGATTAACTCAACAGAGTTTTGTTTGAAGATTTAAAACTGCATTCATATAATCTCCAGGTAACCCATGCATTGCAGGATAGCAATCTCAACAACTGACAAACATTTGCTGAGCAGGGAATGCATGCACATGATTTCAGCAAGATGGAGCTACAGCGTAGCAAGAGTATCAATTGCCACTTTTTGAATTTGTATGGAAGGCACATCATGTCCAGGAGCTGCGATATGATTTGGTTTGCGAGATCGCGACCTCAGACAGCATATAATTTCTTTTTATTTGGAGCCATTTAACGGCCTTTCATTATGTTTTCTACTTTACCTTGTATACCATATGTACTCAAAGCTGTGATATGTAAAGAGATTCAATCTGTTACTGAGGATGTACTGCAGAAAGTTTTTAAAACTTCCATAAACCTCCTAGATATATATATATAGAGAGAGAGAGAGAGAGATTATTAATTCTCTATTTATGATTTTATCTCTGAAGAAAGGAAATGTAAAACTATTGCAAACTGAAATTAGGAAATGGTATTCCATAAGAGGAATGTATTAAAACTATTAAAATCTTATAATTAACTTAAGTTTAAAATTTGTGTTGGTATTCATTAAAATGATATATTTTTTAAAAAGTACATACAAAATAAGGTAGAACAATATATGCAAGCAAGTAAATTATTGCTGATTTCCCAGAAGGTTGATTTATCAGTAGGAATTAACCCTCCCCCCAAAAAATCCATAATAATTTGGGTATGATAACATGTCTTTTCATATGTTTTAATGAATTCTTTTAATCAGGAAAACTAACATATGAAATTTGTATTTAAATGAATAATTAACAAATTTCAAACATGAAGGTAATTCCCCAACACCTTCAAAAAAGAACATATTTAAAAAAAGATTGTTCTAAAAACTTATGGAAAATATAGAAGTGTCAATGCATATGAAACCATTTTAAGTATATTATAAAGTTTAAAACTCATATAATTATAACTGGAAGGACATTTTGTGAATGTTTTGTAATGTAAGTCAGATATTCTCAAAAATATTTTATATCAGTCATTTATTTCCTTTGAAAATTAATGTATGCAAAACAGGAAATTTTTGTGAGAAATAGTGTCTCAGTAAGGAGTGTGAGAACTACTTACAGGCTTTGAGACATTATTGCTCTATTTTCAGTTAGAATCAAGGTTTACATCAATTTACTGTCTCTATTAGCAGGTATTTGTCTTCTTTCTGTTTTGCATTCCTTACTTTTCTACACAATTTAAGAATACCGTCATTTGTTTTTGAAGGATTTGTAATATATTGCGCATTTAAATATCTGGTTGTAATGAAAGTTTTCTGCCATAAAATATTCTTAATAAAGTTAGGGAAAAAACTTTAAAGCAGGACATTTAGTGCGGTTAGTAATCATCCCCAAATATATGATTTTCTGCCAACAGTTTGGTAGTTTTTCAAAGCCTTAGGCCCAGAAACTTGGTGACAGCGAGTCCAAAAACAAATCAACCTCATTTCAGACGTCCTACCAAAGCAAGTAAAATTTTATACGGTGATGATGTTATTGTTTTCTTATGATACATTTTTTAATGTTAGCTTTTGTGTAATCTAGATAAACATATGAATATTAAATTTTTCTTGAAAAGTTATTGCAAATTCTCTGTTTGTTTTGTTTCATTATATTCAAACTAAATATTACATTTTGTTTTGTCAGAGGGCTCTGCGTTCACCTGAGAGATCACCTGAAAATTTTCCAAGTACATCTATATCTAATGCAGTTTCATCTACATCTCTATCCTTTTGTGATGACTTAAATGTTCCAATGAAATCACCACAGCCAGTATCCAACTCGCTTGATTGTTTGGATCCTGTAAATATGATGTGGACTGTGACAAACACACAACCATCCTGTAGTTCTGGAAACAACTATTCTTTTGATAGGGGAAATGAAGCTCGTGTTAATGACTTTCTTAGTTCTTCTACGGAAACAAAAGAATATGAAATGTGTGCAAGTTCTAGCAGTGGAGGAAGTATTTATTCATCAGACAGCTTCTTTTATCGTAAAACAAGCCCATACAGCACAGCCATGAAGAAAGAAAAGAAAAAGGTGTAACAATTTATGTTCATTTTACATGATGTACTTGTAAAGTAAAATCCCATTTAACTGAACTTTGCTTGCCCAAAGTGGTAATTAAAACTGACTTGACAAGCCCAAAAACCAGCTGTTAACAATTTTTGCACTTTTTGCATGCTCATTATTAAAAAAATAGACACATATTTTCTCATATAAACAAGTAATCATTTTATTATGCAGAAATAATGGTCTGTGAAATCCCTCTGCTGAAGATGACCTCTGAGTACTTAAATATTCTTAGTTAAAATTGTCAGTTAAAATTTAATCTGCACTAAAAAAATCAAGGGAATGTTTGCCGTTTTATGGGAAATGGTGCATTCATGCTATCCGAGAAGGCATATAAAATGCTGCCAGGTGCCGAATATCTGAATGCTGCCATAAAAATTGAATTTTTTTTTAATTACGCTTGAATATTATTTTGTCTATGTAATTTAAATAAAAGAAGTTTAAATTAGAATTTCAAAGTTTATTTTTATCTAAATGTACTTAAAAATTACATTATTGTCAAAAATAATGTGTGCGTAAAAGAGATTTTTAAATTCAGCATTTGGTAATCCTTTGTGTCAATTTTTGTTCAAGTAGTTGAACTGTTTCTGAGAATCTTTTTATTCATCTTCGTTAAATTTAGTGCGTACTATTATTTGTTGCTGTGTATTCATGTTTTACACTTTGTTGCCTGTGTAGTATAGAGCTTTATAGAAAATACATTATGCTGTGCTATGTTGACTCTGTATTAACATCATCTTGAAATAAATGTAGGTCACAATTTGTGATTTTCTATAAGCAGTTTGTATAACATTTGTTTCGTAGTTGGCTGATAAGGTAAAGATGTGAAAATTGCTTCTTACCCTGTCATTTATTTCAAAGACCTTGTTCTGTAAACTGAAGACTTTTTTCATTACTATTTATATATGTTCATATTGTAATATTTTCCTAATGTATTTATGTCTTTCCTTATTTTTGAAGCCAAATAATCTGCCTGGTCTTGCTTTGAAGAAAAAGAACATTCCAACTTTAGTAGAAAAATGGCAAAAGATCAAGGAAGAGCAAGACAAAGAAGACAAAAATTCTGATGATACTAAAAATTCAAATGGTGTATGAGAGTTTGCAACCTAATATTTTGAGTATAATACTTATGTTTACTGAATGCTCTATTTTGTTGATATACAAAGAAGAATGGTATCTTGTGTTCTGGTGGCTGTATGAAATCCTGCTTTCAGATAGACATAGTCTTTTTTCCAAAAGTTGCTTTGAAAATAATCTTCAGTGTACAATTAAATGTATTGTTAATTTTATTTTTGCATATGAAATAGTACATATGTGTTCAGATGACTTAAAAAGGCATTTGAGACTTAAAAAGGCATAGGAAGGTGTAAGTCCTCCTTCACCATGTGTTTGACATCATATTATCTTCTTTTTTAATCTCTGGCTGTTTTTTAATACAAAACAAAGCTGACAAGTTACTGATATGAACAGAATTTATCTGAACTGAGACTGAGTTTCAGTATTGTGATTTTTTTTAAGGTTGGTATATTAAACAGCATCAGAATTAACTGGTGCATTGAGACTACTAATTGTGCCCAATGTGATGCCAATAATTTTTTTATGAAATTAATAATGTAGAGATGTAACACTACAAAAGGTTCTTTATGTAAACCTACCTGATCATTGCTGAATATTTGATATGGGACCATTCGTAATGCTATGTACTTTACACTGTTACCCACATAATGCTCCATCTTTCAAATTCTTTGAATGTCAAAATTAATAAAAAATCATTTACGGAAGTTTAGAGAAGTTACCTATAGGCTAATCTTGATAGCATAGTGTAACATGACTAAGAATGCAGAATTTGTGAGGGAAACAATTGAAGCTAACCTAGGGGAAAAAATAGGAGAGATTTGACTTGAGGACTAGTCAAGGACTAGCAGTTTGGAAATTTGTTATTATTGTGAAGAAATATCAAAAGCAAAGTAAATGAAATTATTATTATAAAAATGATGCAGAATGAAGAACTATAATTATTATGTAAATCAGGAATCAAGAACAAAAATTTCATAAAATCATACTGTTAATTGGTTGGAAAAGAGGTTGAAATAAACTGTACTTATTATTCAAGAGCATTGACAAAATTTTCTGTACTATTTGTAATCATCATTCAGAACAAATGGTTAAAACTCGGTCTCATTTTTGTATTTGTCAAATATTTTGTTTGTAATGTGTCGAAATTTTTTGGTTGTGTATATTGGTGTGAACAAAGTGCCAGTTTCATTTATGTATTTTTATTAACAAAGTATTTGTTTCTCATGCAGTTGTAGAGTGGTAGGGAATCATTTGTTTTTTGAATGTAAAATTGTTTATGTATAAATTTATTAAAATTGTTATGAAATTTTGCATAGTGCTATATTTTTAATTGCAAGATCATATAACTTAAGTGGTAGAAATGTGTTTCAACAAACATCAGGCATCAGAATTTTGCAATTCACCCAAGTACTGAAACACATTCTGTTGCTTAAAAATTAATTCTTTCATTTCATTTCTCACTCGTCATATTTTAAATCTATGGCCTTTTTTTAGTTATTACATTCTGACTTCACAGTTCTGTCAATGCTAATCCTGTCTTTGTTTAAAAAAAAAAACTGATAGTATTTAAATATTCTTCATTAAAACATTTGAACCTGAATTAATATTATATTTAATGCAAGAAAAGATACTTAATGGCCCCCAAAGATTTTTATAGTTTTTATCAAATTTAGTAAAATGAAGTAAACAAACAAAATCTCTTTTTAAAATATAAGGTATATAATGCATTTTTTCCTTTTGGGGAAAGCACTTTTAAAAAACTCAAGTTCTTTTTTATTATTATAATTCCCATTAATTAGATGATCACTGAGCCTTTCCTTTTGAATATTCAAAAAGAATTATAGAATATTCAGTCTTCATTTGCTTTGTGAGTAGTACTGTGTTAAACAAATAGTTTAATACTTGAATAAAAAATATAGCTAGGTAGAAGCCTGTGTACATTAAATTTATCAAAGGCCATGAAAATAGATATTTAAATCTGCAAATTATGCAGCCTGAGTGTAATAAACAGGAAACTGTTTTTAAGGGCTTGTATTTAATTAGAGAATTGGTTCACTTTTTTAGCTCTGTGGCCAGCTAAAATTCTGTATTCCATTTTTCCCATTAAAGGTATGGAAAAAACTCTTGTCTTTATTAATCTTTTACAGTAGTCAAAGTTCTTTTTTGAATTCCCTTCACATACTGTAAATTAATTTCATAATGAATTTTTTGCTGTATACATAAGCTCTGTAATTTTCAATTCATTGTTTAATTATAAAGTATTTTTTCCTCATTCAAAATTTAATTCTTATAGTAGTCATCAAATGTAGCTAACTCCTTGTAACACAAACAAGCAATGGTGTAGATCATGTGTTGAATGCTTGAAAAAAATCTTGAAATCTTCAGTATGCTGTACACTAACAAATTCTTCCTTTTGGGTTCTTATGCTGAGAATAAGTATTACATGCAGAAAAAGCTGTGTTACTTATTTAGTAAAGTTTGTACTTAATGATAGTGTATTTGATTTTTCTTAAATTTAACACAGAATTTTTGGATTGTACATCACAAAAATGAAGTAAATAGAACTTCCATTTTAAAACCAGTAGAGTTTGGATAAAATCTTGGATTATTTTAGTACATACCTGTAATCTTATGACTGAACATTAGCTGAGCAGAGGGATACAAAAAAGCAATCATGTCTTATGCCAGATTCTTTTCCATAACTTGGACTTCAGATTAACGGTTAGGTTCCATTCTCAGGAAAGGTTGAGGGTGACACAAAACTCAGTTAACAAAATATTCATTGCTACTTGTAGAATTTCAAAGCAGCAAAAGTATTTAAAATGGTAAGAACACAACGTAGAAATATCCTGAAAGGCCTTGGCTCCTGTTGATTTTTTTCAACTTATCTTTGTCTTTACCAGAAATTAAGGTAAATGGCTAAAGTATGTTGGACAGTAGCCAAGAAAATAAGCAGCTAGCTTCACATAGCTAAAATGTGCTCTAAAAAATATTTCTTTCACTTACTTACTAAGCTTAACATTATTTGCATGCTGATGAAGGTCAGTAGAAAAATAAAAGGTACTGAATAGACTAACTTTTCCAGAGCTGAGCTTTTACATTACATTTTCATCTTGAAACTTATCAATCACTTCCTTTCCAGTATATACATTTATGCTATGATCAGAAGACTATGTTTACAACATTTCTTGTGATAGCAGTGATATTCCAATTGTATGAAACGTATTTGCCATTTATTGTTATTGTTGGAAATGAATAAAATTTTTGGGGGGGGCAGAGTCATGAAAATTTTAGTTATAATAATGTCTCAGCAACGGTTGTCAAAAAAAGATTTTTCGCAAATAATGTATTTAGAAATATTTCACAGAGGCCACTTCCATAATATCTGAAACTAACCAGTATTTCTTGGGAAAAGAGCAGGTTAAACACATCAGTGGTAGTCATTTTATCTAAGTAAGTATCCTGTATGGCATCGCAAAATTACTTGGAACTACAGGTGGTCATCATAAATTTTAAGTACATGATTTTTAAGAGCAGAAAAAGATAAGTAGATAGAGGAAAGTGATAAAATATAAAATAGCTGCATCATTTTCTTTTTGATACTTTTCATATAATTTCACGTTTTATGTCATTTTTTAGTTCTGTCAGATTTCGTGGATTTGATGTGCATGCTTTAGATTTCAGATGATCCCTTAGCCAGTAATCCATTGGAATGAGGTGGGGTATCGCGGTGGTCACGAAACTGCAAAGTTATAGAAAATATCTGGATTATGGTTCTGAAATGTATTTTGTACACATAAAATACACGAGATTTGTCAGAACTGAGAGATGGCATAAAAAGAGAAGTTAATCAGATTACTTCTGCAATGCCACATTCATCATTTTTGAGAACGGTATCCGGCATGCAATGCTTTATTGTCTGCAAAGGTGAGCACAATGAAAATTTGTAATTCCAATTAAAGTTTTTCTCTCTCGTGTTGTCATTGGTCCTTTACAATGCTGTTCTATGCAAATGTTTTACGCTGGCAGTTTTCATCATATGTGTATCGTTCCACTGCCATTTGTAGTTTTTCAATTACCTCAGGAAAAAAGTGGGTGTTACCATTCGAAATTTTTTCTCTGTGACCATAATCTTGAGAGTTCTGTGGTTTTAAATCATCATCATCTGAAGCTCATACGAGTTTATAGATGGGGAAAGTTTATTAATGGCCATCCTCCATGTGCAGTGACTTTGGTTTGTTTTATTTGTATGGTAGAGAAAGGATTTTTAATGTACCTCAAAAATACTGGAAAATTTATTATGCATAGATATTCCTTTTTTTATTAAAAAAAAGAATAAGGGGGAACACTTTTTATAATTTTTCTGATAAAGGGAATTATAAATTTAAAATTTTTAAATTAAACATATGTTTTACCTTATACCCGTTAATAAAATTCATACATTTTAAAATATATGTATAAGACAATAAAAATTGTACATGAAAAAGAAATAAATAGTGCATAAAACAAGGAAAATCGAAATTTCAGTTTAAGTGAAAACTAATTTTATCTCGAAATGGGGTACATATCTTCTATTTGAATGCCACACAGTAAACCTGTTTGCAGAGAGTCATAAAAATTCATATTACTATATAAAGCTTAACATTGTCCTCTGCAAAGAAATGTACATTTTTGAAGAATCAAGCCAGACTTAAAATTAGTAATGCAATAACCTTTAGTTTGGCATACATTTAGTCAAGATCTCAATCGATTTTGAGAGCAAACAGGTACATGTCCCTTTTCGTCAGAAGCAAATAAATCTAAGACTGGAAAGCAGGATCTTGGATCATAAAGAGGTTATCACACTTGGCTACAGTAGCTTGTTAGACGGGGCATTTCTGAGAAACGAGATTTTGGTAGCACTGATTTTAACGGGAGGTTTCCTAGAAAAAAAGAGCCCCACCTGAAGCAAAATCCCGCCTAGCTAAGGAAAGGATGTTGCGGCTACGCGGGATTTTTTTTAGACCTCACTGAAAATGTCTCGGCTGAACTTCTGTCCCGGGTAGAGACAACCATTCAGACAAATTTCTGCTTCTGAAGCATCACGTGATCCCAATCTGAGCGATAATCGATTAGTGTTTGGCGTTCAAGTCTTTGTAGTAAGTGAAAATGGTAACCTAGCTACGTGGGTTTCCTGGAATTGTGCAGATTCTAAGAATTGTCCCGCGTAGCCGAAGCATAATGTGATTGAGGTTGTACTTTGCAGCTGATGCACGACTTTTAAGAATCTTAACCAGTAATTTAAACTATTGCCCTAAGGCCTTTCACTTTAATTTTATAAAATAATAGTCCATTTGCGCTAACAAGTCGGGGGGAACCAGCAACGACAAAGTCAGGGAATTCGTGGTTCACTTCTAGTAGCAATTATATTCAAAAAGCATTTCAGTTGATAGCAATTACTTTCTTCCTGCACTTAGTCATTCAATTTACGACTATTAATTCTATTTATGTACCTCGTTCAGAGTCTAAGGAATTATTTTCACAAGTTTTGGGAGCACTAAGTCACCTGAGTATATTGTCCAATCCTGAGAGACTGCTGTAGTTGTTAACGGACCTTTAATCGAGATGTGTTCCCGATACCCAAAAGAGCAGTTCAAGAAAGAGGTTAAAAAAGTACTATAGTATTTCGGTACTGAAAGATGTGTTAAACATTTGGTATTAAATTTGTGAAAAATTATCCTTTTGAAAATAACAAAAAACAAAAATTGATATGTGCACAAAACATGGTCGCTTTCTGCAGCCCTCTACTGTTGCGTTGTAGTTAATTATCTCTTTAATGGCTCCATAGGGCGAATTTTTTTTGTATTTTTGAAAACGTTGTGTGCTGACGTCAGAATTTGATTATGAATAGTTTGTTATGTCCAAATCCGAGTAAATTTGTACGTTTCTTACATATGGTATGTAATATGCACGTAAATGCTCCATTTTATTTTGTAGTACTGTAGTGGCCCAGTTATTGCATGAGAAATAATTATTTTTTATTTCATATATTTGTTCATGTGTTTAATTATTTTATAAAATTAACTTTAATATTTTGTTAATATTCATATTTATATTTCTTTTATGCTGAATGGCAATAAGTAGTTCATATTTATATTTAAATTTCTTTATGCTGAATGGCAACTAGTTCTAGTTCTGATTCATGATTGCTAGTTTTTGGTTTTCGTTGCTCGTAGCGTCGCATTTCGATAGCCGGAAAATAAAATGCAATAACTTAGCTGTTTGTTTATAATTCATGCTGTTCCTAGTCATAAATTAATTTTAAACATTAG